CCAAATCCCATTCTTTACTTTCGACGAGATATGCTGAGGCATCAATAGGTTGGACTATCCAGTCCATTATTTATGAATATATTTTTGTTAGCACCGATGAAGAATAGAGTCATGGTGATTGCCGTGTTGTAATGTTGTATTTTCTCAAGGAAGTTGCCAGCTTTCTTACAAAAATGTAGCAAATATTTCACATTGTATGCAAAAAAAGGTTTGTAAAAAAAGCATCCGGCATCCGCTATTGTATAAACCATCAAAACTGTATCGCATGGATAACAAAAATGAAGGTTTGGGTCATCGGGAGAAGGCCATTGTGTACAAGTGAGTATATAATGAGACAATCGTTTTTCTTTCTGAATAATATAATGAGACTAATGTAACTTCAATTTATTATATCTTTTTATTATTATTATAATAGTTTAAATTCTAATGCTAATGCTACAGTTTGATGCTCTAGACTGTCGGGTTTTTTTTCTTCGTCTTTACTTCACAATTTGGCACAATTGCCTTACTAAAATGTTGTAAAGATATATTTCTTTCATTCTTACTAATGAAAACAGGTTAGGGGCATTCTTCCCCCACTTACCTACCCAAATAAATATTTTAATAAAATGGGTGGAGACCCACTCAAACCCCTTGCAAATTTAGTTAAAAAAAAAAAATGAAAACTGAATTATATACTCGTGTTGGAAGAAATTTTCAAAAAATTTAGAGAGAGAGGGGCCTTCACATTAAAATCCTTCTTAGCATGCTCTCTCTCTCGTCCTTTTCCCGATCTTTTTCTTAGCTTTTTGGATGTACCCTCTCTTTCTCTCTCTGCCCTTTTTGGATGTACTCTCTCTCTCTTAGAATGCTTTTTAATTAATTGGCAAGAAGGTAAGTGAGGAGAGAGAGAATGCTATCTGGCAATTTAAAGCGATTCCTACCCTTGCTGCCACTTGCGTGGTCCTCCAGGCTCTCTGGAATTTTATTGTTGATGGGAGGGACAATGGAGTGTTGGAACATGAATGTTCCTTTCAACAAAAAGGACCGGACCCTTTGTTCGCTTGTAACCAGGCCCGATCCGATCTGGTCTGACTCGGGCAAGTCCTAACTTGGATTTCGTGAATATATTTTCAACACTTCTTTAAAGCTGCCGGACAAATATATTCAATGCTTCACCAACAACCTCAACTCACACTCTGTAAACGCATGCATGTGAATTCAACTTTATACACAGAAAAAAAGTAGAGGGCAATGTTGAAAGAGGAAGCTTTCAGAAATAATTTGAAGGGTAACCATTTTGTTGGACGAGGTAAAACTTGAAAGCCAAAACAAGGTACATTGACCATTCTAATTTATAAGGCTTCATAAAGTATCACATGGCGCTCCTTTTCAGGAGAGACTCAAAAGACCCTCGAGCTTCACATACTACCATGAAAACTGAAACTGAAAATAACTAAGAGAGAGCTGTTTGACGAGTCTCTATAGGGACCATAGAAGCATCATGGCCTTAATATATATATATATAAACATAATATTTATAAGTAAAAATAAAAAGTGATCTCATTTATATTTATCATCTTTCAAAGTTCATCATACGGTCACAGTTATTCGATAGTATTTTTATTTTTATTTTTTTGACAAATCGGAATGATCTGAAATTTGGAATGTGTGTTCATAAAAAATAAGATAATCTAATAAAAATATATAAAAAAAAATTCGTAAAATATAAATTAATCAAAATACTCATAAAAATTTACAAAGATATTTTGATCAATTTATATTTTGTAAAATATTTGTTTTATATTTTTATTAAGTGCGTCTCACTAAGATGTACACACGCTCCAAATTTCAGATCATTCTGATTTATAGAAAAAAAAAATAAAACACTATCAAACAATCGTGACCGTACGATGAATTTTGGACGGTGATGAGTATAGTCGAAATCACTGTTTATTTTCACTTAAAAAGACTTTTCTATAAGGTTGCAACCTTAAAATTTAGAACTATAGATACACATAAAAAATCCATCAAAATATTATTTTAATATTAAAAAACCCTCTAATTGAGCATCTCGACATTGAAATATATGAATATGAAAGAAAAAATGATTTTCAGTCTTAAAAATAGTGCGTCTGACAACACATTATCTAGACCATCTATTTTTAAATTTTTCACATATTTATTGATCTACTTGATTTTAACTATTTTTTAAATCAAAAATTTTATAATTTGATATGAAAATAGTTTTAAGATAATTTTAAAAATATTTTACATCAAAATTATATGCTACGATCAAATTTAAAATTACGCCTTGGATTGTTTAAGGTTACAACCTCGTGAAAACCACACCCACATATAAAAATATAAATGAACACACTCTCATTCTCTCCTGCTACCGTCGTGGATGTTACATGTACATCAAATTGTACAATAGTAATCGAATGCTCTCTCTTTTTTCTCATCACATTGTACCATAGTAATGGAATGCTCTCTCTCTCTCTCATATCAAATTGTACGATAGTAATTGAATGCTCTCTCTCTCATCAAATTGTACCGTAGTAATAGCAGCGTTCCATCTTAATGGTAAATGAACACTCTCATCATACCATGGATGTATTCCATGTGCCTATTATTTCGGATGCCATTATTCCAACTTTTGAGGTTATACGTTTGTATGGAAAGCGGCATCCGTTGATGAATATTTTTTATATTTAGTGTACTTGTTCCATGGGTCATGAGTGAGACCTTAATTTCTCTCTAGGTATGCCCATAAATTGTTGTTGCATATTCAACTCCTATAAATTGTTGTTGCATATTCAACTCCTGTTGCCATTGCTATTGATGTTTTCTTGATCTATCCTATTGGTCAATGAAGTTTCTCATCTATTGATCTTTTTTTTATCTATCCTATCGTTCAAAGAAGTTTTTTAGATGGTATGCCAATGCTTTTCAAGAATATCTTTACAACTAACTCTATAATTGTAATCCAGACGAAGCACAACATCCTTACACACCCATTTCACATGTTAGGCATGGCTGGTGTATTTAATGGTGCCCCAAGGTTCCTTAGTCACCTCTAGTTTGATGAGGGAAACCATTGAAAATGAGTGTGGATCGAATTGTACAATAACAATTGAATGCGCTCTCTCTTCGATTTTACATTTTCCCATCTTTTTTAAAAAAAATTCAAAAAATACCCCTAAATACAAATCGATTCTTTAAAAAGAAAAGTTTCTATAGAGCCGAGGCTCTAAACAATCAAATTTGAGCCAAAGAAGTAGTTTTGATGCCAAATATCTTCAAATTGATCATCTTGACATTAAAATGTATGGAGATGAGAAAAAAATAGATTTCAAATCTTAAAAATAGTACATTTTTTTATAAAGCATTTTTGAAACGTCAATTTTCAAGTTTTCATAGATATGTCGATCTACACTATTTTTTAAGCTTTAAACTTCATAAATAAACATAGAAATATATTTTTACGACGATCACAAAGATTTCACGTATTAAAACCACATTTATTGACACTATTTAAATTAAAACCACATTTCTCGACCCTATTTGAAGGTAGGCTCTAATTTGATTGTTTAGAGCTTAGGCTCTATACAATCCACACCCTCATTTAAAATTCATTATTTTCATTAATTTTCAAATTCATTTGGATGTGTTTCGCTTAATCATGCTGTAAATATATTTTTCACGTTTTATTAGATTTTTTTAACACTTTTGACCTCTATGAGACTTGCCCGGTTAGGCCGGGTGTACCGCATCCAGCGCATGTCTGGTTAACTGTTCCAGTTCGATTTTTCGAACCATGCACTAATAAAAGGAAAACAGAGTATTTCCAAGTTTGGACATCCAAAGGACAAAGGCTCAATATCATTGCATTCCTCTTTTACAATTTGTAAAATTCATCAAAAACTCAAAAAATACAGAAGTAAACTCATTTGGGTTTCAATACAAAAGGAGAGAACCCCATACAACCACAGTGACTCACTCTTCTTTATTCATTATAAGTTGAATCTCAATTAAAAGACCTCAGCGGAGATCAAAAACCTCAAATTTGAGATTAGTGTCCATATAAACATGAGAGCAACACTCATAGATAGGACCACCACCTTCAGGCACTTGATGAGAATGGAAACCACGTTGAGGGCAGTTCCTGATCACCGACACACCACCAGGATCTGATAGATGGTATATACCATGGGTTCTGCAAATATAAAGCCATCAACATCAGGTAAAAAGGTTATGACAAAGACTCAAAAAGAAAAGTACAGAAATGGGAAAGTGACAGCCTTGGAAGCCCGGGAGGACTGAAAGTCCATTTGAAAATATGGGGAATTCAAAAGCATGCGTCTTTTTTTCAAAAGCCAATGGTTAGTTAGGAAAGGGGCCCCCAGTAGGCTGAAATCTGCTTTTGTTAGCGTCCTAGTCAATACCCAAATATTGAAATGTACCCAGTAACCCAGACCTCCATATTATCACCAAGCTTCCAAGATTGGTTGTGTTAAATGGAACCTGGAGTGGGGGTATGAAGTTTGGCCCCCTCAAATCAAGGCAAAGAAGTAAAAAATAAATAAATAAATAATAAATCAAGGCAAAGAAGAGTTTAAAAATAATAATAATAATAGGAAATAGAGCTGCCTTGGTAGCACCTAGCTTTCCAAGTACAAAAGAATCTCTGCACCTAGCTTTCCAAATACAAAAGAATCTCCCTCAAATATTAAAAGCTCTGATTGTAATCTTAAAAGTCTATCTCCATATCCTGATTGTAATCTCAAAAGTCTATCGCTATATGGGGAAAGGCGACACGAGACCATTGGAACATAAGAAGACAAACAACTTTCACTTCCAAGAGTATCCTCTGACCAAAAGGCTCAAGTGTGAGAGCTGTCTTTCTCAGGTACGAAAAGTTCAGCTTTATCACACCACTAGCAAATGTCCTAAAAAACAAGGCTTTTTTTTAACAAAGAACCTTCCAAAATAAGGCATTTAGAAAGTTCCTCCAAATCTTTTTTTTTTTTTTTTTTCTCAACTTTTATCCAAAAACTAGCTTTTACAATAAATATCCTCCAAATTAAAAAGAATAATTCTTTAGATAAAAATGTCATGAGCTTATAGGACCCTCCCATACCAACAAATATGAAATCCCTACAAATTATCATAAAATTTGAATTCATATTTCAAGGTAAAATTTAAATTCTTCTCTTTCTTTCATTAAAAACTACTCTCTCTCTCTCTCTCTCAACAGATACCCCACTTCTTCTCTATATGGCAATAAGCTTGCATGTCTCTCCACTCATCTCCCTCTTTCGTTTGGCAAAGGCCCCCTCACTATCAACTGAGACTCCAACCGTTTCTCTCTCTCTCTCAAGAACCCCCCCTCCCTCTAAAAGGATACCCTCTCTGTCTATCTCGTATCAGAAGCCCTCTCTTAGAAAATTATAAAGCATATGTGGGAGAGAGAAAAAGGAGGTGGCTGGAAAAGAGAACCTGAAGGATGGGGCTTTGGAGACGCACGGTGATTGAGGAGAGAGAAAATCGCAATTAAAATTGTTGCAAAGCTTGGCATAGTAGAGAGAGAGAGAGAGAGCTGAGTCTGGAAGGTTACTGGTTTGAATTGAAAACCTGGCTTACTGATGATTTGAATTGAAAACCTAGCTTTTTGTTACTGTTTTGAATTGAAATCCTGGCGATTGGGTTACTGGTTTGAATTAAAATCTTGGTTAAGTTCTACATTTTTCTTAAAATTTGGGGTTGAGGAAGAGGGTTAGTGGGTATTGGTGTTAAGGTCTGAGGAAGTAGAGAGAGGTGTCGAGGAGAGATTAATGGTTGCTGATGATAATAGGTAGGCCTTTTCAGGGAAAAGTAGGGTCTCCGTTGAGAGAGAGACAAAAAATATTTTTCTAATGAAAAAGGAAGAGGGATTCAAATTTTACCTTGAGATCTGAATCGAAATCCTACAGTAATCAGTAGGGGTCCCATTCTTATAGGTGTGGGAGGGTCCTATAAGATCATTACTCAAATGTCATGGTCCACACAAAATGGCTTTACATCCCCGGTACCATGTCATAAGAACAATCCATCACACAACCCATGCTAGTCGGCTCACTGCCAGACTGCTGCAAAAGAGTGTTGGACCGACAGTACACATTGCCGGAGCAAAATTTCACATGTCGGGCCAAGATCAATACACCTACTACCGGACCACCACACAATTCTGCTGAACAGACAGCACCTTCTGCCAAACCGACAAAAAATACTATGCCGGACCAAGTGCACCCCCCTATTGGACCAGTAGGCATATGCGTCAGACCATATTTGGTCATTAAGTGTCCTACGGAAATGTGACGCCATCATGTACAAACAAAGAGATCTATGGAACTAAGAGATTTTTACTTGAGAGATATTTACTATAAAAGTTAATTTTGGGGTAAAAATTACGAGGAAAAAAAAAATGATTAGGAGGAAGTTGTCTAAAAAATCTGCTTTCGGGAGGGGGGTTCTCAATGAAAACCACCCAGAACAGCTTGAAAACCGAGATATATTTGAAATAAGCCACAAATCTATCTTATTGAACTCCCTCTCATTTCCCCCTCTCACAAAATGCTACGCGTTGTGCGATTCCAATGCACCAAAAGCAAATTTCTATTCCCCTTCCAATCTTCACTTAGTCTCCCTCACAACGTTCATGTCGACCATCCAAAGACAGGATCTAGGAGGCAACTTACAGAATACTGAAACCAACACTATTTTCTAAATTGGGATCAGGGATCAAATAAGATCGAAGATTGGGATTGGTATTGGTATTAAGACCATGGAATCCTGACATGCAGGCAGCTTCCTATCGTAGGGATCAGGTCCTGAACTCTAGGGATCTTGATCCCAAAATGTGGGGAAGCTCGGTCCAAACTTAATTGAGATGGAATGATAAATTATATAGGACTAAGCTCCATCTAGTTAAAAATTAAGGCCCCAAGCACTACTATAATAGTACACTACTATACTATACAATACTCCTATGCAATAATATACTTATATATAATAAATACTACACAATATGCTATATGCTACGCTACACTATACGCTACTATATTTAAATTTACTATGTACAACTATACATATTTATGTACTATACAAGATGCTACAATATAGGGCTGAGAATTTACCCAGTTTGGATCCAAAACCCGAAATTTGGATCCTAACTGGATCCAAGATTTGGATCCTATCTGGATCCAAGATTTGGATCCCATGGATTGGATCCAGATCCAAATAGTAATTAAGATCGGATCTAGGTTTAGGTAGATCCGATCCTGATCCAACCCAATTATGAAGATATTATATACATATATGTTATATAGTATTTTTTGCTATATAGTATTTTATAGATATAAATTAATAAATAAACTAATATATAAATTAATTTTTCTTATATCCATTCAGGTCTGGATCAGGATTTGGATCCCATGTATACTTTTCGGATATGAATCCAAATCCCGGAGGATCCGGACCGAATCCCGAGGGATCCGGACCAAATCCAGCCCATTCTCAACCCTACTACTATATTCAAAGAAAACGTTGTAAGATGAATCAGCGAGCGCAAAAGCCCGCTGACCTTAGAACGTCCATCTTAAAGTGAGCTGGACCAAACAACTTATGGATGTGCAAATAATCCCTTAAAAAAAGAACCTATTTTAAGTTTCAATTTTATTTTATTTTTTTGGGTATATTCATAATCACCTTGGCCTCGATCATGAACCCCTAAAAATATGGATAAAAACTCCACCTTTAAGACGAAAATTAGATAGGGGACGCACTTGTACATATGAGCCGGCTGAAAGATATATACCTTACCGGTATACTATACTACTTGACTATCCCGCATTGTTATACTATACTACAATGCTAGGGAATTTGCATCTCTTGTAACTTAAGATTTCAATCCCTAACTGGAATGATCGAGATTGCTCTTGATAGAGTAGAATGGCAGACCAAGATTCGTGAAACTGACCCCAAATAATTAGAAAAAAGCTATGATGATGTTGATGTTGCAAAGGAATAAGATTCTCCTCACTGGAGCATAGCGATGAGATTATGGAAGGGAATCAAGCATTGGTTGGAAGATCATGGTGACTAGTCTCCCTCCATTAAAACTCCCTCGTCCTCTATAAAAGAAGATTCAATCTCTTCTCTCTTTTATCTCTACTGCCCGGCGGAGTGGTAAACAAACTATGGGGTAACATCCGGGTGGGTTAGCCCGTATCCTACCCTACACCCGTCTCTTTGAAAAGAGTTCACAACTGGGAGTGGTTTGTCTAGTGTTTTCCCCCCTTAGACGAAATGAAAATACTAATACCTTGTTGAAAATACTAATACCTTGTTGCCTTGTAGTTTGGTAGCTCAACAAGAGGGTTCGAAGGGGGTAAAGTATGGTACACCCAAGATGGGGTATCCAACACTAAGCCGATGGTTCCTCACTCTCTCCAATCTCCCCAATCCTTTAAAGTGCACTGATAACGTTGAAACCAACCCTCCATATTTTTATCCACTGCAAGGTTGCTAGAACCCTCTTAGGATAATACCTCTTGCAACTCTTCAATTGGTCGTGGGTTACACCACAATCGATACCCCACCTCTCCCGCTCCATGGTCGAAGTCGGGGATCCTTCTTTGGCAGGCAGCCGTGGCTGCCACTTTGTGGATTATCTAGACCGAAAGAAATTCCAGAATTTTCCGTAGTGTCAAGTCATCAATCACAGCTCTTAGACAAGACCAAGACCCTAGTCATCTTTTGGGTAAAAAACCGCAACTGCTCCTACTCGGACTTCCAGTATGACTGGTTGGCACTACTCCAACTCAGGCCCCACCAAATTTCTCGCACTTCCCTCTAGAGACAGCGGAACCCGGCCAAACCAAGCTCAACTTCGACAGTTTCTCCTTGGGTAACCGGGCCCCACTTGCATTGAGGGCCTATTCAGGGACAAAGACAGCAAGCATTCTATTCTCTTACCGCCGCTAAATCAGTCATGCCAACTCCAACACGGCTGAGGCTTTATCTCTTCTTGAAGGCCTCGGGAGCTTCAACCCCACCAGGATTCCAATGTTGATCGTCGAGGGAGACTCCAAAAATGTTGTCATGGGCCACTGAAGCCTCAAATTGCCCATAGAGACTAGATGGCATTTTTGACAAAAAATCTCATGTAGGCATACTTGGAGGGAAGCCAATGCCACAGCCGACACCCCTTGCTAGGGAGGAAGCCTCACGGACGGAAGACTCTTAGGGGGACTTTTTGAGCAACTTTTAGAGCATGAAACCCCTGGCTTATTGTACACTTTTAGCTTACGCTTATGCTGTATAGCACTTTTGAGACCCTTCAGGGGCCCCCACCATTTTTTTGACCCATATGAGTTTTTGTACAGGGTACCAGGCTTGTGAGTGTCTCATTTATAGAGTCAACACTTTCCAAAAAAAAAATCTCCTCAACACCATCGCATTTCATTAGTTAATCGCCCAAACCAGTCAAGGAAGCCTACGCTGAAATAGTATGGTGGGCGAAGGGGGTAAGCTGCTACTAGATGGCTTTGTGCTTCGGCAAACCACGAGCTCCTCATAACACTCAAAGCCCACCTAAAAGAGTCATATTCATCTCCATTAGTTATTTGTCTCCCAAAATTCCAATAGACAGGCCTCCTTCAACCTTAGGCATAAAAATCTCCTTCCACTTTCACAGGAAGGAATTGGAACCCATGTCCCCTACTAAAAATATTTGCCTCTCCAGCTCAACAGGCATCTGTATAAGAGAAGCAAAGTACACAAGACTATGATGCATGGCTATTTCAAAATAGGTACCACATCCATATTGGAAGCATTACAAAATTGTAAATTGTAAAATCAAAAGTGTTTTAGTTATGACCAGAATCATTTCCATGCATCATAAACACTAGCATGCTAGCCTATGCAGACTCCAGCTTTTATATGACCACCACAGGCATTTGAATAGTGGCCAAAAGCTGAGGCTTAACGCTGCTTGATCCAGAAGTGCAATGCAGGCCCCTGAGATTTCAAGCAAGCATATTTTACAAAACAAAAATAAAAATATGATAAAAAATATATAAAGAAAACAATATCGTTGCATCGGTATATAATATTAGACCATTCAGCAAGAGAGGTGCACAAAATAGTCTCTTTATGTTAAAAACTATATAATGATCTAACAACACATCATTAATTCAATATTTATCATTATCAATGACATTATGCAATAAAAAGCATCTAATTCTATTAGAAAAAAAGAATAAGAATAGAGGGATAGTGTTGATGGATAATCAAACCACATATATTTAGTGGTATTCAGGTAGTTTTGTGCCTAGTTCAGCAGTGCTCTATTCATCTATTTGTGCATGTGCATGTGCATGTGCATGGACGCATGAGTGTGTGGCTGGCAGTCAATGGGGGTGGTCATATGGTTGCTTTCTGACAGTGAAATTGGTTAATATAGTCCAAGTTTAAATTTAATAACATCAAAGAGAAAAACCTGGATGTGTCGGTGGGTGCCATAACTATTGCAATTGCTTCTGGTAACATAATCTGAAAAGAATACATGCACACAGGTTAGAAAAGAAACCAACCAAATTAAAGACAAAATATATAATAATATTCAATGAATCTAAAAAAAATAAAATATTTGAAAGATGAACATAGAAATAGACGCTAGAGAGGACCAATAATTATTTTCCGATAGACAATTGCAATCAATTGGCCAATGGAAAAGCTAATCTTCTAAACTGCCATTATTTTTCCCTAAAGATGTACAGAAATAGACACTAGAAAGCCCAAAATCTTATGTACATATATACACATAAATTAATTTGCTGAATCGAGTATAGTGTTTTATGCCAATATTAATGCAACATATTTAAGCAATAATTAACTGATGATGATGATGATTAAGCAATAATTAACTGAAAGCTCAAACAATCTTCAGAATTATAAAGCATCGTCAGTGTCACTCAGGAGATTCAAAGTTGATCAATTAAGTGACAGTGACCATTCAAATTAAGATTCCAACATTACATAAGTAATCAGATATTTAATATTGATTGGAATGTATTTAGATGAAACAAATAGAGGTGGGTGACATATGCAAACCCATTTTGACACAATTTAAGTGAACTCTTGCTGCAGAATGTCTCTTTCCGTTTCATCCAAGAGAATCAATCAAGGACACACAAACTTTCCAAGAACTCATATCAGAATCTTCATTTACAATGCAAGCACTCACTAACCAGTCAGGATTCCGCAAAGTCCTCAAAAAGGGATCCTGATGATAGGGTCAACTCGACAAAGATCAATTTTCAGTTCTAAATGTTCACTACATTACGCGCTGAAAACAAAAAATACAATTATAGCACCTCAATATCCAAGAGGCCAAATTTGTCCAGCGGCAGTCTATGAGTATAAGCTCCCATGATAACCGAAAGTTCTAAGCTAACTCCAAGGCATAAGCTTCACTAGCTTAGGACCATGTTACAAGGTTCCGTAAACAAGTTTTAACCTGCGATGCAGGAACGTAACCTACTATTCTAACAAAGGCAAAGAAGTGAAGAAACAACGGAAGAAAGGACTTTAACAGAAGAAAATAAGATGGAAAAACTTTCTGCAACAAGACAATTAGACTCAAGTATTCCTAGGGCCTCACATCACAGCCATCCAATCAGTGGTCTCCCCCATAAACCTTAGTTGGATGACCAGGATACCCCAACACCCTCCCTGATGGAAGAAAGGGTTTTAAATCCCCCTTCTTAACCCCAGGGCCTCTCTCTCTCTCTGGGATACCCCAACACCCTCCCTGAGGGAAGAAAGGTTTTAAATCCCCCTTCTTAACCCGCAGGGCCTCTCTCTCTCACACACACACACACACAACATGAAATTTTGGGAATTTGGTTTAACAAAACCAAAAAGTATTTAAAACTAATTAACCTTGAAAATTTTAGGCAATGGAACTTGCATGGACTTTAGCTTTGGTTACTACGTTCTACACTAGAATTTCCATTAAAGTCTTTTTTGCCCTTTTGTTTAGAATTGGCCAAATGCTTATCTAATATAATTTCGGAATATTCGTTATCATGGTTTTATGATCCTTTTTCATAGCTTTCAGGGTAGGGAAAATTATCTTTTACTGTGTTATTTTCTATAGTCAGATATTGATGTTTCAGTTGATTCAGAAGGAAAGTAGGGTTTCTACAGTCTTCTAGGGCGGCCGATCCTATGTTTTCCACTTGCTATTACTGATCTGCAATAGAAGGTCCCTTTTGTAATAGACAATAAAATTAGGGTTTCTAAATCCACAAGTAGCGTTCTGAACCAGTGCTGAGTTGCTGAATCAACCACTTCTAAATTAATCCTCAGATTTTCCTTCTTTTTTTTACAAGATTTCTTTAGGTTTCATGTTGTAAAGAATGCCATCTTCAATCTACAAAGGTATTGTATGATTTAAAACAATATTTTTGTAGATGTAGAATTTTTTATTATAATTTATTTTTCTGAAAAAACCCTTGTATTTTTTTTAAAAAAATTATTTTTTTCCTAGATTTTGGTAGGGTGTTTGTTGTAGAGAGTGTTATCTTCAGTCTACAAGACCTATTGGGTTGCAATTTTTTATTTTTTTATTTTTTTAGAAAAGCTCTAGAACTGGTCCAATTTTTTCACAAACAAACACAAAATAATTTTTAAATTTTTCAGTATTTTTTAGAACTTTTTTACCAACTCGATAAGGCCAACTGATCCAAACCGACTAGTTCACTAGCTCGGGATCGGCAGGTGTCACCAGATCCCATTTTTTAAACACTACTTACAACCAAACAAATATTGATGTGACAAGCATTTGTATTTTCTACATTAGTTGCTCAATAGTAGAATCCCAGCACTTCACATTCACATGCAAATACTAAGCAGCCAGAACGAGGAAGCATAACAAAATAATACCACAGATCCTAAGCTTTTATAATCACCTGATATGAATAATGGGTGTGAAGATCAACTGAGGACATGAAACAAGACTGTGTGGGGTGAGTCTGAAAGCAAAAAAGCAGAATGACAACCAATATTACTGAAAATAAAAATAAAACCTAGCAAATTATGAAGATTTCCCAAAAAAAAATCGCTTACACTTTAACAAAAACAACATTTTTCTAATAAGAATATTCCGTTTAATATTCAAAAATATTTCATAGAAGAGATATTGACCACATGAACAAAAAAAATTCCATGACAACACATGCAGTTCTGCAGCCTTGAGCATTTTTCTTTTTCTTTTTCCAAATTGTAAACGACAATAAATTAAATGAACATGAAATAATGCAAAAAGTGGTCTTTACAATGCCTAGGCAGCAGCGTGAATACCAGGCAGCCGCCTAGTGCCCCATCTAGGCCAATGTTCGCCTCCTAGATGCTCTGTCCCTTGGCGGGCACCTAGACACCTCGAGCCTCACCTCGGTCACCATTTGCCGAAGGATGGATCAAAGATCAGTCAAATATCTTTATATTTGAGACTCCTTCGTTCCTTCAAGATGTCTTCTTCGGGTTCTAACAAGAGTTGAGATCAGGAGTGGGGATATGGAATGAAAATATGGTTTGGGACAAATAAGAACAATCAAAACAAAGATCAGTGCAATTTTTGTAACCAATATACAAATGGTGGGATCAATAGATTTAAAAAATACATTGCCTGGATTAGGGGGGATGTTTCTGCATCTAGGGATGCTCCGGCTAATGTTAGGAAGGAGATGCTTGACTATTTGGATTCCAAAAACAGGAAAAAGGCATCATGGAGGCACGTATTGGCGATAATGATGAAGATGATGATGAAGGGGAGACTGAAGAGGGTTCACTCGAAGTTCTACGGGATGAATCAGGTTTAAGAAGCCTCGTATGAAGGGGCCCATAGATGTATTTTTCCACTTAACCCCGAGGTTGGGTTGAGAAAGGAACGAAGCAAGTAACAATTTGAAAATAGGCATAACGCATAAGAAGGCAGACGGAGCCTGAGTAAATTGATATATTGCTTGTTGGATGTATCAAGGGGGTGTTGCTTACAATACTACTTGCCCACGCATCCTCCACACAATGTTGGCCTGGGTTTAAGGGCCCAACCCCATATGAGCTTAAGGAGTCATTGCCACAAAAGGAGGTACAACTCACAAAGGAGTACCTCAAGACCTACAAGGAGGCGAGGGTGCAATATGGGTTCTCAATAATGACAGATACGTGGAGCGATAGAAGTAGGAGAGTGATGAATTGCCCTTTAAGGACAATGTTATTGAGGTCTATTGATGCATCTAATGATACAATGCACAATTTATTACTTTATTTTTCTTTGGTCGAGAAGGGCATTGGAGAAGTTGACCAAAAGCATATCATATAGGTAGTAAACGACAATATTGTAGCCAACATGTGTTGCGAATTTGTTGCACTAAAAGCAGCCCCATATTTTGGGTACCATACACGGCACACTGCTATGGTCATAGTTTTATGTTTGATTGGTACTGAGGCGAAGCCCATTATGGCCTTTATATGATGCACTAAATAGAGCCAAGAGAGAGATAGTTAAGGGATTGGGCAATGATGATAACATGTAAGGCACAATATGAGAGATTGTCAACACATTTTCAAAAAAATATATATGAGAGATTGTTGATAAAAAGTGGGATAAGCAGCTACATCGCCCCTTGCATGCGGTTGAATACTATTTGAATCCAATATTCTTTTCTGCAAACCTGATATTGAGAGGAAAGATGCAATCGTGAATGACTTTAGTGAATGTCTTGAGAGGCTCATTCTTGATAAGGATACCCAAGATAACATATATGCTGCAAAGTTGATTTTATATAAGTGTTCATTACACTCATATGAGAAGGAAATGGCGATGAGACAAAGGACCAAATCCAATCCAGGTAATCTATTTAATTTGAACAACTTTTTCCAAGTTTCGACTTGTATAGTTTCATATGAAATAGACCAATAGGGATGGCATACTTGACTTTTATTAGTTACAACATAACCTTAAAAACTTTAACTTATAATTTTAAGATTCAAACAATGTTCCATGTAATTACATGCCAATGGTGAAGCCAACATAGGAGTAGTGCTCCAAACTTACAGAAGATGGCCACTAGGAAAACTTAACATATAGCTTATCCAGTTGCGAGCACAATTGGAGTTCATTTGAGATGATAAGTGGGTAGATTGCATAAGATTATAACATGTCATGTTAGTATTACTGGTAGCACTAAATGATTAGAATGATTGATTATATATTTATAACTTATAAGGCATGACTTAATAACTTTATAAGTTCCTGTGGCTTCCCTAAATTTTCACTCATGCATTGTCCTAGAGGTGCATACAAAGAGAAGGAACATGTTTGCGCAAAAGAACCCAATGAATTGATCAAACTCAATGATTTAATGTTCGTATGTTTTAATCAGATGCTCCAAGAGCATGTAAATAATCATGACACAACGGATACCAATGTATTGAAGACATGGATGATGCTAATGAGTGGTTGGTTGATCATGGCACACAAGAGGTCTTCCTTGGTGAGGGTGTAATTTGAGCCTTCAAGGCAAGCTTCCGACTCAAGGCAGACCATTAGACCAACTAATACTACTGAAGCACAGAGGAAGAGGGAGATAGAGGAGGAGGAGACCGATTCAGAAGAGACTGAGGAGGAGGGCCACAATGTTGAAGAGGGTGATAGTTTTGATGATGATGACATGGAATCATATGGAGGTCTCCAACATGAAGCCAATGATTACAAAGAAGATGAAGATTGAAGACTGAACCGTTTCTTTTGTATCATGTTGTTTATGTGATTTTCACTATATTAGGGACTGGAATATGTATGGATTATGGCGTATGGACTTGTATTTCAGCATTCGTGTTTTATGACTTAATGGTATTGAACCTGAAACGGAGCTAATATATTTAGCCATATAGCATTTGTATGTTATTTTGGATACGTTCTTGCTATCAGGTTTTGCGTTTTGTGGTTGCTAATTAACTTAATCTTATATTTACCAATTTATTACAAATATGAAATGTGATTGAACAGTGAATGTGATTTCCATGTGTTTCAGATGCATGTGCGTGTGTGTGTGTATGACACACATAGAAGCAAAAATTATACATAGACATTTCAGAAACTATTGTTTCCCAGCCAAGCTCGTCTTGTAACTATGGTCTATGGATGTTGAAAAGTCATTCTGCCCATAGCATTAGGGAAACAATGTCACTGGGTATGTGAGTACGGATTAATGAACATCTTGCACTAAGAAAACTTACACGATATTACTTCCCAAAATAAATCCCATTTCATGTAACTAGGGTCTACGAATATCTAATTAAAACTCTCCGGATGCCCACATAAATTTAGAGATGAGGCCATTCATTAAGTGAGAGCGATAGAGCACTTTTTGAAATGAGTGGAAATAAAACACAAAACATCTGACAAATGATGTACAATGTAGTTTGAATTTGCAAAACCCTAATTATACATACACAAAAGAGGAATCGAGTAGAGGTAGTGTTTCAAAAAGTGTTAGGAGGCACCTAAGCGGTCGGGGGGTCCATGCCGCCTAGCACCTAGGAAGCCCCCAAAACCTAGGCGGCCCAGTAGAAATATTTTTTTGGAGGGTTTTTCTCTCTCTAAAATAGGCTCTAATGGGTTTTAGGTTTCAAATGAACCTAAAACCCACAATTTTGCACTTTTAGTATTAAAAAAAATGATCCAAAAATACCCTCAACAAGGGACATTTCTGCCCTGGACGGGGTATGAGCGCCTAGGCGAGTTCCGGGGCACTTAGGTGGGCGCCCAGGGATATCCGCCTGATTTGGCTGCCTAGGCCTAGGCGATGCGCCCAGGCCTTCTGGACCGCCTAGACGGCCACCCAGGCGCTGGGCGATCAGCTTTTTAAAACACTAAGTAGAGGCAATCTCAAAATACTCACATGAATCCATCCAAGGGAGAAAAGGGATTGCTTATCCTGCACGTCATATATTTCCTCTTCATTTGAGGTCTGACACTGCAAACATAATAATAATATATAATGCAGATGATCATATAACAGCTGGAAGTTTCAATAGCATGCTTGAAAGTTAGAAAGAAAATAAATGAAATATAGCAAACCGTATCAGAAGTTGACTCCTGCTTTGGGATGATTAGAGCTGTAACATAGAATGTTCGGTTTTTCTGCAAATTTTACAAGTAATTATGATAGGGCTATCATATACATATATACATGCAAGCACTTATTACCAATAAAAATAAAAGCTACAACGTGAATGATCAGCACAATAAACACATGGAGAGTTGGATATAAAGTTCACATTTTCGGTGTCTCTCATACAAAAGGAATCCGTATTTATCATAAGTAAATACTTACAAGTGATCCTGCAAGGACTCCACATGTTTCTAAGTTTTTCTGTGTATTCGACCTCGCCAACCTCAAAAACTCTTCCATTATATTTACTGACTGTAAGGAAATTACAAACAAATTTTTAGTTGCGGTCACCAATCAGAAAGATCTGTAAAGGATATGACAACTAAACCATTTTCGTGAGAATGGTTATAGGGAAAGGTTATAAACATAGAAATCAAGTCCTTAAAAGATAGCAACTTACGATATGTAAATGCATATATCTTTTAGGATCAGCAAGCCTCTCTGACAAAAGCTGTGCATCTCCAGGCATAGGATCAGCAACTTTTGAAGGAGGGATTGGATCCAAATCCTGCACATGAGCGAGAACAGGAGGAGGAGACGGTTGCCTGGTGATATTGGACTGCACAGTAACTTCTACTGTGTCATTAGTGGAAACTGAGCAGGTCACCTCTGAAGGATTGGACCTTCTACCATCATCGAGGGAGAGAACTGTGTCCATAATGGACGCATTAACTTCAGAGGCACCATCTTTGATTGCCAAGGAACCACATTCTTCAGTCTGATTCAAGCTACATGCCAACAAAAAACAGATAATATAAAAGTGTCAGCGTCAAAGTAAGAAGACATTACAATCTTTAAGCTAAAAGAAGCAAGAACTCGAAGATACTGCAAACAACAATAACAAAAGTAAGAAGAAAATGCAATCTACCAATTGTTTTATTCTAATCAGAGATATACTGCGGACAAGTTGAAAACATAAAAACTGGCAGGACTTTCTTCATTGAAAGATTTACAAGAAATTCTTTTGGAGTGAAGTGATTTACTAGGATTTACATTGCAAAGGCATGCAAAGATGAAGCTTACAAAGATGGGGATTGCTATTGTATGAAACAAAAGCATTAAAAATCTTGTCGAAGATTCTTACCCAGAAACTTCAATGGGAGTTGAGTCAATGTTGCTTGGATAATGGACCTATATGCATTCAAAAGGAATATAGTCAATGGAAGTTACCAATTCCAGTAATCAAAGCAATTAAGAGTACCAGATTATACCCTAATACCAGTAATAGGTGCCTGCCATGAACCATGAAGCCCATTTGGACCCAAAATGGAATGTCTAGACAAAGTTTCCTCTTTCGGGCAAGGGAGATGCAGTGACCTGCAGATTCATCAAATAACAAATAAGCTCCAAGAGATTAATTCAGGTAAAAGCATTTTGCTCAAACAAATATTATTTCAATGGTTCCAAGTTATTTGAAATAACACTAGCTCCAAATGACACGCTGGAGATGTCAAATTAACACTATCATATGTGCCTTTTTAAATCAATTAACTGCTATCAAATTTCAGTAAACTAAAAGTTGCACTCCCACTTAGGGAGAAGTCAAAAACATTTTTCCACCCACTTTCAGTGTTTCAAAAAGCGGACCACCCAGCGCCTGGGCAGATGCCAAGGCGGATCTGGGGGCTTGGGCGCATCACCCGAGCCCAGGAAACCGCTTAGGCGGCGACCCAATTACAACGCCCCGCCCAGAGGCAGAAAAAAGGTTTCAATGGGGGCTATTTTTGTCTATTTTTTTATACTAAGGGGCCAATAATGGGGGTTTTAGGTTCATTTGAAACCTAAAACTCATTATAACCCATTTTTGAGAGAGAAAACCCCAAAAAACCTAGTTTTTTGTGATTTCTTTAGGATCAACGGGTTTCTCAAAGTTATGAGAAATTGATCAAAGCATCACGCATTGATATTAGATTTAATTTTTGATGTTTTACAAATCTATTGGGGGGTTGTGTATTGTGGTCTTGTGGATAGTGGATAGAGGATTTGTAGTTCCACTGGTTTAATATTTGGTAACTTTAGTTTGGTAATTTGGTTGGTAAATTTGTAGTATATTTTCAATTTTAATGTCCCCTAAATACCTAATTCTTATATTTTATAAGATATATAACTGTAGAATCCCTTTTGGATTCAACTAGGCTGCCCAGATTCTGAGCGCCCACCTAGGCGTTGGCCGTCCTGGACCCCCAAGCCGCCTAGGACCCGCCTAGCGCTTTTTGAAACTATCCCTACTTTTCAAAAAACAAGGATAGGAGAGTCATACTTACACTTACTAAAGAAAACATGCAAGGCGAGCTAGTCACATCTAGCATTTTAGACAAGTTTGTCAACTAGGCATTAAATAAATAATAACAACCAAAGGCTGTCACTATTTTTCCTTCTTTTTTTCTTTTTTACCTAATCGTTCTAAGGCATTGCGTGGGTGATACTAAAATAACCCCAATGGTATTGCTCTCTTGTTTTAGTGCCATGTTTTGTCCATAAAGAGACCATTTGAATTAGGGGATTTTTGGACAAACCAAAGTTACCATTGTGCCCTACTTTTTTGAAACTTACCATTGTACGCTACTTTCTCGAGTAATTTCATTGGGATTTCCATTGTAGGTGGAGCCATGATGATGGAATTGACAATGGAGGTTGATTTAATGTTGGTTTCATAGCAGCGGATAGGGGAATGGGTAGTGCTTTATCGACAATGAGGCATCTCATGTACTTATCCTTGCTGGTTGCTCGCAAATGTAACCCAATAGGATGAAGCATCTCACGTATATTTGTATGTTAATGGTTTATGGTCCTTAAATTGTGGTTTTGTAGTGTTCTGTGATTTTGAGTTTTTATGTTTTGCTTCTCTTGGTTTCTTTTTATTTTTCCCAAATTTATCATAGGGGTGTGTTTAGTTTTCTTGAGATTGACTTGCCAATGAGAGGCAAGTTCATTTGATAAGTCCTAGATTTGTTATAGTGGGGGGATCAAGGCAACAAAGGATAATCAAGTGAGTCTCAATTCCCAACAAGTGGCATCAAAGCTCAAAAGAAGAGCATAGTTATACGTGATAGTGGCAAGTTACAAGTCTAAACCAATGTTATTAGGTTTGGGTAGGCCACCAAACCAGAGAAAGATCTGGTCCAGTCAAAATCGCCTCACCTTTTGTAGTGAAGGGCTCAATGACAAGAAGGGGTGATTGGCTGGTTCTTAAAATGCAACATAAAGCTCATTACTATTAACAGCAGTTACGTTGAAATAGCACCTATAGTACCAGCCAAGGACTATTAGCATTTTAGACCAAGGTGTTATTTCTCCTTTTCCACTCTAAAATAATCATTTATCGGAATTCTCAATGGAGTTCCACTGATTAAAAAAAGGAAACCAAAGGTTAATCCAATATGCCCCAAGGGACTCAAACCTCGTAGCATTAATTCTTGAAATGGATAGTTAGACAACCTCTCCTAGTCAGGTTAACTTGGAAGATTCAATGCTAAACCATTTAAGTGACATCATTGAGTTGTCCATGTTGTGCCCCAAGTCCATTTAATGATTACTAAGAATGAGATGCAAATAGTTCATATTTAAAACATTATAAAATTTCAAACTATGCTGAATCATGTGGCTCTCTGGGCCAAAAGTGATGAAGCCATTATGTTCTGTTTCCAAACCATTGAGATGGTGTGATCTTATAATAAAACTTCCCATATAATACATCAAAACAACAAATATGATATTCATATTCGTAGCAAAATTTTAGAAGCAATCAACAACTCTAGAAAACCTTCTAAGTTTTCCATTCATAGTGAAATATGGATCCAAAACATGTATAATAAAGTTTATATTAGTTAATGACATGGTACCAGCAAGTCAAAATATGAAGCCCATAGGAAATACTTGACAGGCATCAACTAAAAGGACAGATCAGCATTTCACCTAAAACTGTTAAGTGGGTGGGTAGAAGACATACAGCTTGCTCAAGGGCCTATCAATCCCTGTCGTGTATGTTGAACCATTTTGGCTAACTCCAGTAGGTTTTCTCAGAACATGAGATGAACCAGTATTCCTGCCACCCAAGTGCGACTGAAATAACAATACAAATTATGACATCATTATAAAGAACAGTAATAGACAAAAAATATTCATCAGGTGTGGTACCAGAATATGTAAATAATCAATGCAGTGACTAGCCCCATGCCAGTTCAATTATATGAAATTTTATGAGAATGCTGGTATGAGTTTCTCAATCATGCATTGGAGAATAAATGTGGAAACTTCACCTGTTGAAGATCATGTCCGAAAGTACTTTGCACCTTGAGAGGAGGCCACTCAACAGACAATATTGGATCTTTAGCAGTAACTTCATGGTGATGCCCCCATGTATCAATTTGACCATGTTCCTTTTCATTCAGTTCCTCAATTTGACGCTTAACAACTGGCTTTAGAGACTCTAATTCACTTAGAGCAGTCAACAATTTCTAGAATAAAGGAAATCAATAAAAACACTCTCAGTGATGCGAGGTAAATCACTAGAAAGCACTCTATGTAAAAGAATTGTTTCAAAGTTCCAATTTATGGAAAAGAATAATGATCATCATTATAATTTACAATCACCGTATTGAGGAGAATTTTTTCTCTAGGAAGCAACAAATGGTAATCTCGATGGCATGGTATAGTCTCAGAAACCAAACTGTACAAGAAAAAAAAAAAACCAGTAAGCCTTAAGCATTCAAATTTTAAAAAAGAACTGAGAAGATTATAGTAAGACACCCAAGGCCATTCCCCTACAATTTTATGACACAATAGTAATTTTACACAGAGGTTAGTATACTCGCCTTGAAAATCTGAGAAGCATAATGTATAGATCAATGACATTCCTCTCTCCTCGAAAAATACGTGCCTGAAAAATACAAAGAAAGTTTAAACAAGGCAAACAAAAATACTTCATGCCAACCAGCTTTAGCCTCAATCCCCTACTGTTTTGAAATTTTTTCTTTTCGAAGAAGAAAGATCTCTGATGTTTATTCTGTCCCTACACCACCATAATTCACTAAAGGTCGTGTAAGCAAAAGAAGCCAACGACAACAGTGAACATCTCTTAAATCAATAAGCGCATATCGAGATTCGCCTGCATGCCATAAGAGACCCAATTCATGGAAATTGGATCACTTGCATGAAGGATTATCAGCACATAATTGAATTATTCAGATCAAAACAAAGAATTCGGAAAAACAAAAAACAAAAAAAAGCAGCAAAATACCTGTCTGAGAAGGCTATCGGAGATGCGACAATAGTAGCGAATGGAAATCCTATTATCGACCTCCAGCTTTGGAGCACTTGCAGAGATGTTGATCGCTCTCCCATAAACCTTCATCTCTGCTATTTCAGGGATTCCCTGTGCAACTCAATCCCTGTGCAACTCAAAACCCTAGGAGATCGGCAACGTAATTTTCGGTGAAATTTGACCAGCATGTAAACCATGAGCCGCCGGGAAGTTGTTTTTCCCGGCGATTCAACTACTTCGATGAAGCGTAGAGATTGGAGGAGCCGATCGTATGGAAGATGGGGAATTTTTATGGAACAATTACGATGGGGACTTCAGACTTTTCTTTTGGATTTGGGAAATTATCATATATGCCTTTTAGAGTCGTTATTTGAAATTGGGAAAATATTTTAATACCCTTTATTCTTAGGATTCCTTTGTCGATGCACATTTTAAAAACCTATCTTTCAACCCCTAAACTAACCTTCCTTAATTTTATTTTATTTTTTAATCCAAACAAATATGAAAAAAACAACCTTTTTAAACCCCATCCTTACTTTTCCAGTTTCCGCCTCCTCCTCTCTCCCCATGTTTACCAAACCTCTCTCTCTCTTGTATTCCCCTAAACCCCTTGAGCTGGCACTTTCAAAGCTCATCAGGCTAAGTCGATAGTGAATCATGTTGCTCGTGGTTTTGGGGGAGAGTTTAAAATTTGGAGTTTTCTCCTGGTCGAGGGCAGGTGAACTTCAATGTGACCATGCAATACAGTGGTCTTCCTTTTCAAAATCCTATTGATGCCACACCTGTAGAAAGGAGTGACGTTGGGCCTGGAAAAAATGTTTTATTAGCTGACCTTTTGTTATCCCAAAAGTAAACTACTTGACATGTACAGGAAAGGGAAACTTTTATTGAAGGTCCAAAGATTGCTCAGATTGCGCCAATTGATCCATTGGCTTTTGTTGCACCTAATGATCCTGACGAAGAGGTTGTTCTGAAAGATATATCTAGAGGAAAAATCATTGGCATAACTCATTTAGAGAGAGATTGGTGAGGGTGCAACAAGGTACTAGACATGATGTTTCCGTTGAGAGAAAAGCCTCTAATAACATTGATGATACTGGTGAGTGATGAGTCCTTGGGAGTTGCTTCAAGTCTAATGCTAAGCTTCCAAATGGTTATGGTCTCTTTGATGGTTATAAGAAGGGAATTCTAGACAACCAAGGTAGGAATGACAATGAACCTGCTGGATTGCCAAAATCAACAGGTTCTATTGAACTAAATTTGGAATCGACTGTATTAGCTTCTGAGTATGATGCCATCAACAATGGGTGAGTGCTTGATTCATCTTGATGGTCCTCAACCCAAAACCAATGATGCTAGCTTTTTCAGTGAAGAAAAGTAAGTGGACAATCATGTCTTTAGCACCTCTATTTTGGAAAGAGCTTTCTATTTCATTTCCCATCATTTAGAGAGACGCAAATTAGTGGTAATAATTAGTAGCGGGAGGATAGCAGTGAGGATAAGCTTGCTTGGAAAAAGAGAGAGAGAGGGATTGCAAAACACGAAGAGAGAGTGGGGGAGAGAGAAGGGATTTGGGGAGTCACGGGGGAGAGAGAGAAGGGTTTGGGAAATCATGGAGGAGAGAGAATGAGAGAAGTTTGAAGAATATCAATGGAAGAGAGAGATAATCGTTTAGTAAAGGCATATCTTGCTCATCTTTGCTTGGGCTAAAAAAAGGTTTAAAATAGATAAAATAATTTAGGGGGTTCGAAGATAGGTTTTAAAGCTTTTGGTTTATTAAGAAATGAAACCTAAAAATAAGAGGTACGGAAATATTTTTCCTTTCAAATTTGTTTTTATTTTTATTTAATACATTTATATTTATTTCTAGCTTCTTCTTCCTTTTTTATTCATGTTTTAACCCCATATTTAAAGGGTTTTGTTAGGCTACACTACTTAGTGGTGTAAACTCTTAAAGTGCTCAACATTTTTTAACACTAACGTGCCCTTGAATTATAATACAAAATTTTTCAAGTAGGGGCATTTTTTGTCATTTAAAATGGTAGAATTAGTATTTTTATAAAAAAATAGTGGCATTCTATTAGTAGTTAAAAACAATTAATGGACCTTATAGATGATGTCACACACCTTATCGGTGATGTCATTATCCACTATGGTTAATAAATGTTTTTGTTTCTATTAAGAGTTTTTAGTTTATCCTTGACTAATTACTTAAAATACCCCTAAAGAAAAAGTTATTATACTATAGCATAAGGGTATCTAAATGTCTATAGCATTTTAAGGGTCTATACCACAAGTGGTCTACCCTAACAAAAACCATATTTAAAATTTATTTTTATTTTCTATTTAATATATTTATTTCCAGCTTCTTTTTTTTTTATTCATGTTTTAACCCTGTCACAAACCTAATAGGTCTTTGGTGCCTTTAAAACTTACCTTGCCATTTTAAACTTACATAAACCCTTCGAGCCACCACTATTATAATAGAGCCATTACAAAGGGTACAAATGTCATTTATGAAAAACAATTAGAAACAGATGTAGGTGTATTAAAGCAAAAATAAATATAAATTTGAAATATATGCAAAGGGATATATTTGATAATTCCGTTTTTGAAAAATGTTCAAGTTTTTTTTGCCCGTAAATACTTATTTTCTACTCATTTATCCTTTTCCAAACATAATTACTGACAAAATTATCACGGGGTGGCTCTTCCAAGCGTTTTTTAACATTCAACTTTCCCACTCTATCTGGAATTTTACCCACTTTTTTCTCTTTCCATTTTCCCACAATTATTATCAATTTCTATTCAAATTTAGGTGGCTCTTCCAAGTGTTTTTTAACATTCAACTCTCCCACTCTATCTTGAATTTTACCCACTTTTTTCTCTTTCCATTTTCCCACAATTATTATCAATTTCTATTCAAATTTAGGTGGCTCTCTGCCATGAAGTCTCTTTTTATCTCTCAATTTTGCCATGAGTACTAATTTTTTTGGGTAATTCAGTGGGGATGACAAGCCCTACCTATTTTTTTCTTTTTTATCTCTCAGTTTTGCCATGAATATTAATTTTTTGGGTAATTCATTGAGGAAGACAAGCCCTACCTATTATTTTAAAGTAGATTAGGAGTTAGCTTTTTTAAGGTGTTAATTAGGTGGTGGGATTGAAAACCACGATGACTAGGGTGTGGGGTGTTACCACCACGACCCAAGCCTTTTTCTTGAAAAAGGGTAAGTCAATGGGTATTTGGGCCATACTTTTTAGTGAGAATAGAGTAAGAGACTTCATCATAAGATTCGTTGGTACTACCGTTTCCACAGCATTATTAGTCAAAGTAAAACATTTATATAATGTGTCAACTGTCAACCTCGAGCAATAAAAGCGAGGTGCACCTCAAAATTTAAACTAAAAAGATTGTTGCGGTGTTAAAATATCCTAAAGTTGATTTTCTCAACTTTAAAATGTAAAAAAGGTTTCCATAAGGTTGACACCTTAAAATTTAGAGTTAAGGTGCAACTCTAATATCCTTTGAAAACATTTGTTTTGACGATGGAAAAACATTTTATTGATCATGTTGACATTGAGAAATATGGATATGGAGAAAAAAATAGTACATTTTTAAGAGATTTCAAGTCTTAAAAATAGTACATCTTGCAACACATTATCTGGACAGTCAATTTTCAAGATTTTTACGTGTTTATAGATTTGCTTGATTTGAATCATTTTTTGAATTTAAAATTTTATAATTAGAGATAAAATTAGATTACCACGTTATCCTAAGAATATTCAAACAATAAAATTGTATTTCAAGATAGAGTTTAGAGATGCACCTTATTTTTATCGTTTAAGGTTGCAGCTTTATACAAACCACACCTTGAGATGTATATATGGAAAAAAATAATCGAAGTTATAAAATAATACATCTTATAATACGTTATCTAGGCCGTTTAGATTCAAATATATTTAAATATTTATATATATTCTTGATCCATACCATTTTGGAGCTTTAAATTTCACAGATAGAGGCAAAAACATTTTTTTTAGGCCATAAAGGTTTCTGACGCCATAGCCACTTTTTTTTAGCAATATTTATAGGTGCGCCCTTATTTTGATTGTTTAAGGTTAACACACCCACAAACCCCATCCCCAGTAGTTGTTATCTGAGGCTCTCTCTCTTGATCCACTGTTCATAGTTTATGTGGAGACCCTTTGACATTTTTAAATACTTCAATTTTAAAACCTTGCATTTCCAAATCGACAATTGCTAATCAGACTGGATTTGATAGGTTGGCAATTCAAGTCTTGTTTATGGTGTTTATTGATGAACTTTTTTCCTGATTTTTCACCAATTCAGTCAATCTAGATCTCTGATCTGGCTTATCCAAATTAATACAGTGGATGAGCAATCCAGAACCCCATTCTGAAACACCACTTCTCAACAAAATGCCCCTGCTATTATCCTATCTTCTTGTTCATGACCCAGTGAGGAGAGTCATTATCCCTCCCACTCGGCCCTTACCCCACTATCTTTTTTGCTCCAATATTAGGCAAACTCCTTATAGGCTAGCTCATTTTATATTCTTGATTTTTCTCTTATTTCAAAAATGTCACTTCATATCTTCAAAATTCAAAATGTCAAATCCATTTTATAACTATAAATCTTAAAGATTTGAATCAATGTCTAATGTAACTTAGAATCTTCAATATTTGAAGTTACATTTGACTTTATATATGGATACCCAATTTTAAATATTCAAGTTCCGAATACGTAAAATAGCTTTGTTAGTTTCGATTTTGAAGATCTTGTGTGGTGGCATTTTAGGATCTAAAGGAGAGAGAATGATTGTTGGCTCGTAAAAATAGTAAAATTATAGATATTAGTGTAAATTCCCCCTTTTTTTTCTTTTTTGTTTCTCTGCCTATGACAGGACACGTTCTAGAGATAATATTTTGATACAAACTACTTTGAGGAGATGTTTGATACAAACTACTTCGATGAGATGTTCTTTTAATAAACTTGGCAGTCATAGTGGCGGCATGTAGAGTCATAGTGGCGTGAGAGTGGAGTCATGGGGTTTGAAATGGAGGAACACTTACTTGACAAAGTCTATTCGCCAAGTGTAGGTTTGTTAAAGTTCGAGAGAGCATGAGCACAAACATTGAATGTAAAGAGAGCATGAGCACAAACATTGAATGTAAAGAGAATAAGAGCGGTAACACAAGATTATGAAGAGAGAAGAAGAGAGATAACACAAAATTTACATAGTTCGGGTTTGTTAAAGTTCGAGAGAGACATTGAATGTAAAGAGAAGAGGTTTGTTAAAGTTCAAGAAAGCATGAGCACAGACATTGAAGGTAAAGGGAAGGTAAAGAGAATAACACATGCATTGACATTGAATGTAAAGAGAAGAAGAGAGGTAACACGACATTGAAGGTAAAGAGAATAACACATGTACTGACATTGAATGTAAAGAGAAGAAGAGAGGTAACACGAGATTATGAAGAGGGAAGAAGAGAGATAACACAAGATTTACGTAGTTCAGGACAAAGCCTTACGTCCACGGATCCAAAGCCCAATACCTACATCTTCACTATTTGGATAAAAGATTATCCAAATACTTGCCCAATACCTACATCTTCACTATTTGGATAAAAGATTATCCAAATACGTGCCTCTATATATAGAGGAGAATCACAATGAATTTTGAAGATAGAGGAAAATAATATGAGGCTTATCAACAATAACCAAATTACTTGTTCTATCTTCGATACTCCTCTTCAAGTTGGTGCACAGAGTGAAGCCCAACACAATGAATCTTGGAGATAGAGAAAAATAATATGAGGCTTATCACCAATAACCAACTTGTCTAAGTCATGGTTTATCTTCAATACTCCTCCTCACGTTAGAGAAAAATAATATGAGGCTTATCACCAACAAGCCTAAGAAGTTTATCACCAATAAACAACTTGACCAAGTCATGGTCTATCTTCAATACACCATATGCAACTTGACCAAGTAATTTGACTTGTTCTATCTTCAATACTCCCCCTCAAGTTGGTGCGCTTATCATCAATAAGCGGCTTGACCAAGCAATCTGACTTGGTTTATCGTACTCTCCCTTAAGTTGGGCTTCACCTCGAGTTGGTGCACTTATCAACTATAACCAACTCGACCAACTAGGTCTATCTTCAATACTCTCCCTCAAGTTGGTGCACATAGAGAAACCTAAGAGGTTTTCTTTTCTACAAAAAACACTTTGGGCTGGAGGTTTTCTTTTGCACGACACGACACGTGGTACAAGAGGTTTTCTTTTGCACGAAAAAACACTTTTACACAAAAAAACACTTTGGGCTAGAGGTTTTCTTTTGCACGACACGACACTTGGTAAAGAGATGAAGAGAGATAACACAAGATTATGAAGAGATGAAGAGATGAAGAGAGATAACACAAGATTATGAAGGGAGAAGAAAAGAGATAACACATTTTACGTCCACGGATCCAAAGCTCAATACCT